TGTACATGTAGCAAAATCGTTCAAAAAGTTGCTTTCTGAAAAGTAGTTTTTAACTTTTATACTTCTAAGCAAAGCCAAACATGCTCTTATGACCACATTTCCACATCCTTATCGCCTCGCACTGCGCTCACAAGAATCAATCACTCACAGAGTCTATAATCCCAATTCTCTACTCTAATTTTCAAACAAAGGAAATTCGTCAAATCCTTCAATGGAGCTCACATTACAACAACTGAAACAGTACGATGGCAGCGACCCATCGAAGCCCATTTATATAGCAGTGAAGGGTCGTATATTCGACATGACTTCGGGCAAGTCATTCTACGGCCCTGGAGGACCCTACAGCATGTTTGCCGGCAAGGATGCTAGCCGGGCCCTGGCCAAAATGAGCAAAAACGAGGAAGACGTGATTGCCTCGCTCGATGGCCTCACAGACAAGGAAATGGGTGTCCTTAATGACTGGGAGACGAAATTCGAGGCTAAGTATCCCATCGTTGGTACTGTTAGTAATTAAAATAGATTATCTGAAATTGAAGGTTTGTGTTCTTGGATTTTTTAAGTGTTTTTGTGATGTGGTGGCATGGTGCAATATGATGTGATTGATGAAATAAATACTGCAAAAATAAGTATCCGAATTGTTGGGATCTTGTCATCTGCTCATCGTCTTCTTATGTCTGTATTTATGTTTTCACTAATGCATCTGTTTAATGATTATGTTTTTAATCCCCATTACGATTTGGATTATTTTAGCTGTTTTAGTTCATCTCTGTTATTACAGATTTTACCCAAAAAAGTGATTTGTTACCAGGTATAATTGATTGTTCTAATATCTTAGTATTGTTGCACTACCTCTATTTTGATATAGGTAGTAGAAAGAATGAACTAGGAGGAATAGCTCAAAATTGTTAGATCTAGAATGAAAAGGGCAGGAATGCTCTTTAAAACTTGAAGACGACTCCAAGAAGAAGAAAGGAGAAGGATCCACGAGGAAGCAGGTCTAGGACGAGTGAATTGGCTACATGTGAGGTTGGATTCTTTGCGAGGATACTAAGAAGGCCAGATTGCTTTCTTTAGAATTTGTAGACTACTGTATATCTTATGTTCAAGTGTTTTAAGGGTTTAAGTATACTCACGTTTGAGTCTTTTAGCTGGATTATTTTCATAAGAATATTTGAACTGGATTTGATGGGTGACCAAGATACTGTCCTGTGCAAGCCACCATTTTTGACAGTGTGATGAAGGTCGAGGACCAGAGGTGGCTTGAAAGTTGAAATAAAGACAGTTGGCTTGATGACAGAGATAGAAGATCTTCAGTTGAGAAAGGGAGAGAAAAAGAAAGCTTATGTTGGAGGAAGTCGATTGTTAGGAGAAAAGAATAAATGAAGGCAGTAGGCGGTATACGCGGAGTGACAGAACTTTTTTACTTTTAAAAAACGCCCCGCCCGCATTGTAGAGAAGATAAATTGTGGAATGTGCCTCATCAAGTCAGGGTACAAGAGCTGACATACTGGTGTCCCCCAAAGAGTCCAATTCCATACATTGTAAGAGACAGAAATCGAACCATCATACTGCGGCTTTCAGCTCAACTGAGACTACCTCACTTCTGTCCTTTGCACCACTGAGCTATGCCCCTGAGACAACTTTTTTACTTTTTAACATAGGTCTTTTGGTTGCTTCCTGAGTTTTATTATTATTATCTATCTATTGGCTAGGCGATTGACTAACGTAAATTCGGCGACTCTTTCTTTTTATTTCATACTCGAACCCAAAGAATCATAGTTCATCTATACAACCCTCCAAAATTCTCCTTGACTTTTACACATCTTTTATAACAATCCTATTTTTTTATAATAATAATCATTTTGTTTAAAGAATTGCTAATACAACATAAATCCTAACACCTACGTACAAGAGCAACAAATATGAAGAATCAGAAAAGAAGCAAGGCACTCTGATTGACACACGAGGGATAAATTTAAACTATAATTAGGTTTAACACTATCCAACAAAATCAACATATATTCAACCTCAAGGTTCTTGGCACTGTTCTTCAAGACCTTTTAATTGATCATTCATCAGTTGGGAGCAACTACGAGGCAGAGCCACAGTATAAAAAAGGAAAAAAAATATTTTGATGTAGTGGCTGCGATCGTGCACAAGCAATCATCCTCAAATTTGAATCATAAATCCCCAAATGAACTGAAAATTCTGGAGGCTGAGCAATGTACTTCTAAAGAGCTTGACATTACACTTATTCTTCAATCAAGCGAACTTTTAAGGTGTAATTTCGGTTCTAATTTACATAACTTACATTGGGCATATATGATTTATATCGATAAATATGTCTTTGATGATTGGTCGGCCACCTAGTTGACATCTATAATCGGCATACATCACGTTCCAAAACCATTAGGTTGTGATTGAAACACCACCTTTTTCATGGAAAATGGAATTAGTTTTCCATTTTTCAAGTTTTGTAGTGTTTGATGGCAATAATTTTCTTGGCATTTGGTGTTCCACATTGGCTCCTCACGCGCTTGTTTTCTTGGATTTGCTTGAATTGTTTTTCCCACATTTTTGATGGGAAATGGAAGTTCCAGCTTTTTATTTTCTTTTATTTTGGCGATGGAAACAAATTTCATAACCAATTGTAAAAAAAATTCACTTTAATGGATAATTTTCATGTAAAACAAAGTCAAACGAATACTAAACTTTGATGAAAAAATGATTTTTTAGGAATTTTTTTTTTTTTAACTTTTTGGCAATGGAAACAAATTTTATAACCAATTGTGGAAAAATTTATCACTTTAATGGACAATTTCCATGTAAAACAAAGTCAAACGAACACAAAAAGATCCAAAATTTTAAAATTTTTTGGGTGAAAATTATATCAATCAAACACACTTAATTAACAATTCNTTTTTATTAAAAAAATGATTTTTTGGGAAAAAAATTTTTTTTTTTTTTTTTTTTTTACTTTTTGGCAATGGAAACAAATTTTATAACCAATTGTGGAAAAATTTATCACTTTAATGGACAATTTTCATATAAAACAAAGTCAAACGAACACAAAAAGATCCAAAATTTTAAAATTTTTTGGGTGAAAATTATATCAATCAAACACACTTAATTAACAATTCTCTGGAACAGAAGTTCTAGACAATTACTTTTTTTGGAATTCATTTTCTTTCTACCTATTTTCTACCCTTGCAATCAAACGAACGCTTAGAGTTACTCAGGAGTTGGTCTTGTCAGTTTGGAAGGTGAAGTGCGCCGCTGATGAATGCCTGGTAGGTGCCATACCCTCCATTAACGCTAACTATGTTATTGTGGCTTGTTTTTTACTACTAATGATCTAATAAAATTTATATTTATATGAAGCCGTCTTCGTATTTTTACATATATAATTCAGGGGGTTCTTTCCTTGTAAGACAACTGAAAGTTGTGAGATCACTGTTGTAATAAAACCTGCAGTTGGGGAGTAAATCCAGTAGTTCTCGCGTTGATGGTGTCTTAAGAATGTCTGTTTGTTTGCGTGTGATTCAATCACTCTCGTAATTTTTTTTTTTCTTTTTTTAGACATTCAAAACGACTTTCTATTATCAAAATACATCGTTTTCTTCATTAGCATCAGCTGCCAAAACATTTACAACAGATTGAACTATCCAACAAGGAACCATTCTGAAATTGTGCCCAACTTAGCTACTGTGTTTATTGCTCCCTTCCCTCCTTATAAACGAGCAAGAAAGGTCTGGGAATAAGCTCATAAGATTGATCCACAGTGCAGTCAGATGGCGCCATCAGGTGCTACAACTCGACTTCACTGTCGAAATGGTTAACCCAATGAGATGCTGAGAGTCCCATAGTGACCCTTTCCAACAGGGTCAGCTTATCCGTCGATGCTGGTTTCATTTAAATTTTGCAGTTTTCCCACTTGGAAGATTTTACTTGACAAATTTCGGCTCCACTATGAACGGGTTTGAACAAATAGATGATAGCTTGATTGAGCCCCTATTTGATAACCATACTTTTCCAAAAAATAAAATAAATAAATAAATAAAATTTGAATAGTAATTTTCAGGAGAATGTGTGGTGGTTAAGCCCCTGTTTGAGCTCCATTTAATTTAATTCAATTTTCTCTTTTTTTTCATTCTCAATCACATTTTAAAATCATACATTACACGTAAACCAAATTTTTTTTCTTCATTTTTAATCACACGTTTTCCAAAAAATTACCATTCTAAAATGCTTTTTTTTTTTTTACAAAAGCTCGTTAAAATGAAGCCCTAAAAGTAGGAGTCAAATGTTTCATTAGCCACGAAACTGTGTACCATGTCACGACTTTTCTATTGAACTTCATCAATTGGCCATTGAACTTTGCCTGTCCATCTCCATCACTAACCCGATGAAAATTGTTAATAGACGAGCCTACATGGATGACGGAAAAATGAGCTGCAGTTAACTTTTCTAAGTGGTAAGTTAATGCCAAATTAGCTTACACGTCAACAAAATTAAATTAAACCTTACCGAACATGACTTTACCAATTTCATAAAAATGACTGAACAAAAACAAAATTAAATTGCAGCAAATCGTGAACTCGATTTCTCCTCCCCAAATCCATTTACGAAGAGCCCTAATTTCACCTCAAGAAATCATCTTCCCCAAATCAATTGATCCCCAAACATTTACCTCAAGAACTCTAACCCCAAAATCATTTCAATCGGCGAGAAGAGTACATACAATCTGCCAAAATCTAAACTACAAGATATAGTAGATTCTTACAATATCTGTTTACTTAACAAGACCAAACGCTTTCCACGTAAAATTTCAAAATCAGCTAACTTTTCTTATCTGTTTATTCCAACACAGTTAAAAACTCTCTCATTTTTCATCTGCTTCAACCTCAAAATCTCAGAAATTGATCAAATATTGAACAAGAAATTTTTGGCAGATTGTTTGTACTCTTCTCGTCGATTGAATCAATTTTGGGAGTTAGGGTTCTTAAGGTGAATGTTTGGGGATCAATTGATTTGTGGAAGATGATCGGTTGACGTGAAATTATGGTTCTTTGTGAATGGATTTGAGAGGAGAACTGAGTTCACGATTTGCAGCAATTGAATTTTGTTTTTCTTAAGTCATTTTTAAGAATTTGGTAAAGTCGTGTTTGGTATGATTCAATTTAATTTTGCTGACATGGAAGCTGATTTGGCACTAACTTACCACTTGGAAAAGAGTTAATTGGCCAGCTCTTTCCGTCGTCCACGTAGGTACGTCTATTAACGATTTTCATCGAGTGAGTGATGGAGTTGGACAGAACAAAGTTCAGTGGCCAATGAGACAATTAATGAAGTTCAGTGAGTAAGCCGTAATATAGTATAAAGTTTAGTGGTCAATGAAATATTTAACTCAAAAAGTAGGAAAATATTTTAAGTTTGTGTGTTAAAAAATATAATATTATGTGAATGCATGATTGAAAATATGTATGTATAAAAAAAGTTTGAAATATATGGTTG